TTGACAATAAAACTAAATTTAAAAAAAAAAAAAAAAAGGTAAGGCTAGGCATAGTGATGCATACCTATGATCCAACCACTTGGGAAATGGATATAGACGAATTGAAGTTTGAGGCCTGCCAGGGCTAAAAAATGCTAGTAAAATTATCTCAAAAACAAACCAGAATCAGAAGCCAGGATCCACCCTTGTAACCTTAGCCAATCAGGTGGCAGAGATTGAAAAGAACACAGTTTGAGGCCAACATAAGGCAAAACGCTCATGAAACCCCATGTGAACCAATAGCTCAGTACAGTGATACATGCTAACATCCTAGCTATACAGGAGGCTGAGATCAGAAGGATCAGGTTCAGGTTCCAAGACAGACCAGACAAAAAAAATTATGCAAGACTTCATGTCTACAGAAAAAGCTGTACCTGGTGTTACTTATCTGTCATCCCAGCTATGTGGGAAACATAAAGAGGAGAACCACAGTCCCGGCTAGCACTGTGGAAAAATGAGACCCTATTTCAAAAATAACCTTAGCACAAGAGGCTGGAGGCATGGTTCAAGTTGCAGAATGCCTGAATAACAATCACAAACCTGAGTCCAAACCCTACTATTCCAAAAAATATATAATAAAATATGAAAGACTAATAAGATGACAAAAGAACGGAGGATATATGATCAAAGTGCATGAAAAATGTGTGCAAGTATATAATAACTCTTATTCAATAATTGAGTTTATTTATTTTAATGCAAAAAGAATATAATTTTTAAAATTCCTCAATAAAATAAAGGAAATAAAATTAGGTAAACATTTTTTTACAGTCTGCAGAATATTGGTATCTTAAGTAACTGGTGTTAATGATAAAAGTATATTTCATTAAAAAAGTATTTATTACTATTAGTAATAAAAATGCTGCAACATTAGAATTGAAAACCAAACTGAACATAAAGTTTTCTAAAATGTGCCAAGCATTATGACACATTTGCAATCCCAGCATTCAAGAAGCTAAGAAAGAATTCAGTCTGAGGCCAGCGTGAGCTACATAGTAAGATGCTGACTCAAAAAACACACAAATGGATGGATGAATGAGTGAAGTTACCAAATAAGGTGGTCCTGAACCCAAGGAACACCAAAGACTTAAATTTTCATATTATATTCTTTAATTCTTAGAATTCTATGCTCAGAATTCTACACTATCATTCTATTTTACAAAAAAAAAAAAGAAACAGGTTTCGAAAGGCAAAACAATTTGTATTACACTGTTAATCACTGGAAACGTTATAGATGGAACAAAAAATGTAACTAATGTGCTCACAGTTACATTACTATCACATTAGCAAACTGGCACAAGGCAAAGTAAAATTTAGTCACATTTATTTAAGCATTACTTATAACTACATAATAGCATAATTTCAATCGGGCCATATTCCATAGTTCAAAATTTTTTCCAGAAAAAAAATGAAGGTAAAAATCTCCTAATGTAACACATAGCAATAATGAGATCATCTAAATAAATGGACTAATTAAATGAAGAATATTTAAATAAATATTTGTAAAAAATTTACAAGCTTAAATATTAGTCACTTGAAAAGGGGCATTCTAAAATAATGGCCACAGCTGTGTTATTTAATTGCTTAAATATTAGTCACTTGGAAAGGGGAAGATTCTTAAAAACTGAGCAGAGCTGTGTCTTTCGATTGTTTCTATTATACATGTTTAATATTACTATAATCAAAAAGGGTATACTTTTGAATCCAACTTTTAACCTTTAAAGGCTTTTAATCATTTTATAAAAGACTTTACTCACTAACCAATTATTTATACAATAACCATAAAAAATTACCAGGTCCTCAATATTGCCATAGATATTCTTCTTCATGCCTGATGCCCGGGTAGATATCCATCCTCCCATAGTGCTGAATTCCAGGGAGTCCGGTTCATGACCTGTACAATAACCACTTTCTTTAAGCTGAAAAGTAAAAATGTAACATTTTACTACTGAAATTTTACAACCAATTTACAACCGTTTACTACCATTCACACAGCATTCAATACATTAACTGCTCCTATATTGAAATTTCCATATGTCATTGTTGTTTAGATTCAACAATCTTGTTTAGAAAAATAAAATTTTTATCACACTACTACTAATTTTTAATATTTTTGCCTACTGGATAACTATAAAACTAAAGGTGGACCAAAAGACACTTGTATTTTCCAATTATTTACTCCTTACATTATTTTACTTTAATGCCAGATGTCCCTTCTACATTTTTTTACACAAAGAGACAATTTCAATATGTATGGAGATCAGATTATGCTTAAAGAACTGCCAAGTTCACCCAAACAGTTTCAATAAATAAAGCACTTAATCTCTTTACTCCCTACCCTAATATAATATGCAGTAGGTCTACAGAAAATCTGAGCAAATTGCCTGTACTTAATTCTCTCAAGGAGTCATGTGTTTTAATGTACAGCCATCTGGCTAAGTTTCCTGCATGTAACACTGTCATTTACTTGGGATGTGGATCGTGGATTCCTGTACATTAAACAGTCACTTGTTCCTCATTTTTCTATATTAGTTTGGCTGCGCCATCTGCACAACACCTGAGGTTGAATGGATGCCCTTTACTGAACCACCACCAAAGCCATTCTACTGAAATCACTTTAAAGACTCAACTACCTCCTGTCAAATGGTATGACACCACCATCTGCATACCCACTGTCTACTGCACTCAAGCCCATCAATCTGTGTTGACCATTTTGACAGTCATCCGGTGAAGCAACTGCTTCTATTTTTGAACTAAACCATGCAGAGATGTATAATATGGCAGCTCTGCTTGTACCTATGTATTTAAGTATGATAGGGAAATTGTAATCCAAAATTTTAGTCTATTTGGACAAATATCATTTGTTAGTGTTTGGACACTAGCAATAGAAATTATTCACCTTTTCTAATTTTGTTTCTAGGAAAGCAAGATTTGAAAAACATTGTTATTTAAGTTTTTCACTAAACATTCAACTTATTTATGTTTAAGATGATCATAACCATTCAAAAATAAGCTAGGTTAAAATGAACATTATCAGACTGTCACAGGGCCTGGGAAGGTGGCTCAGTGGTAGAGTGCCTACCTTGCATGCATGAGGCCCTGGGTTTGATTCCTCAGCATATAGGCAGAAAAAGCCAGATGTGGCACTGTGGCTCAAGTGGGATAACGCTAGCCTTGAGCTGAAAAGCTGAGAGACAGTGCCCAGGCCCAGAGTTCAGGCAAAACAATAAAGAAAAACAAAACAAAATCCAGACTGTCACATTTCTTCCTGAACTCTATCCTCAAACATTCTACTTTGTGTGTGTGTGTGTGTGTGTGTGTGTGTGTTTGGTGTGTGTGTTTGGTGTGTGTGCACACAGTATTGGGACTTGAATTTAGGGCCTGCATATTGTCCTTTAGCTTTTTTGCTCAAGGCTGGCACTCTTAACCACTTGACCCACATCTCCACTTTGAGCTTTTTTTGGTTTAAAAATCAAAGTACTAGCAAGAAAAAACAGAAACTGAAACTCTCAAATAATACTGGTAGGAATACAAAATAAAATAATCATTTTTAGAAAAAGTTTCTTTTTTTTTAACTGTTTTGGCTACATACTCCATTTCTAGATACTTATCTAAGAGCATGACAGTATACAATAGATTTCTACATGACTGTTGGCTGCAAGCTTTACTTGTAAATAGCCTTAAAATGAAAATAATCAGGGACTGGGAAGATGGCTCAGTGGCAGAGCGCTTGCCTTGCATGGCTGAGGCCCTGGGTTAGATTCCTCAGCACCACATAAGCAAAAAAGGAAAAAAAAAGCCAGAAGTGGTGCTGTGGCTCAAGTGGTAGAGCACTAGCCTTGAGCTGAAGA